CAGCCAGCCAGCCAGTAAAAATGACATACTCAGATGAAATATGGTGACATACAATCAACGTAATAAATTAAACTAATAAATAACATCATATTTTGCCTGTCATCTAGAGGGTGGCTGTAGTGGTTGCACCAGCCTAACAATGACTCTGCTGACAATGACATGGGAGAACATGCAAACTCTTACTTTAATTTACACTTTTTAAAATCAATAAATGTGTATCATATTTTTGAAGCCACAGTCTTACCTGCCGATCGGCTAAGGTAAGCCAAAGCTGTGAAATCTAAGATGGAAAAGTACAGAGAAAGTGAATTCACAGTCATTTACTTTCTCTTTATCTGCATAATGCTGTGTCATTTTTGGGAGGTAATAACTCTTCATTAAAACCTTCTGGGTTTGTAATTCACTTCATTTAAAAACAATTTATATCACAAAACAACATGAAGTATGTGCAATACAATACAGACCACTGTACTTCTGTAAATAGGAAAAACAAAGCAAATGGAACAAATGTTGACTTACAGTTCTATTCTGTAAGTTAATTACATGTTTCTAATTGGTTCTTGGCATTTTATTTTTCTTGTTTTAGGATTGACAGAGCCAGGAGGGTTCTGTTACAGAGGTGACCGTGGGCGTCTTCACGGCACCTGCTGAAAGGAGGAAGATGGCGAGGCTGTGGCACATTGTGAGAAATAACACTGATCGCCATCATGATGCTTTACCAACAGGCGCCTTTCGCCATCGGCTCGTCCTTCCACCATGTGCTAACGAGCGACACTATGATAATAATAATAATAATAATAATAATAACAACAACAACAATAATAATAATAATGACAATAATAATAATTTATAATTCCTGAAGCATACTGCCACTCAACCTTTGTGGCTAACTTTGCAAAGCACCTCTAGATATTTTAATTTAACTCCTGTTTTCACATTTTTATTCTTAATTAGGTTTTAGTTTTATTATGCAATCTATTTTTCAGTCATTCATTTTTACACTATTTAACGATTACATGCAATTTCATGATTTTTGCTTTCATATTTCTTTTCATTTTTAATTTATGCCCACAAACCACATATTAAAGCTACACAAATATCTATTAATATGGTTATTATTTTTACTTACAGGTCCATGGAAATGTCTCACACAGCCTCATCTTGCTCTCATACCAGCAGCTTAATGAGAGACCTCAGCTGAAGTAGCTGCAGAGAGGAAATGGTGAAGTCAGAAAAAATGTACACACACGTCTGGCCTTGATTGTTTGGTTCCTGGTTCTTTTTTTGGCAGTTATATGGCTATACAGTGGCCCCTGCATTAGACACCCTACATGCTGCCTGGCAGAACCATTTTATTTGGCAGATGAAGCCTTTCTGCA